TTTGATGCTTTATAAAACTCAGATCAGACCTTCTTTGGATTATTTTTCTTATTTATGGAGCTCCGCCCCCTAAGCATACTCTGAAGCTGTTGGATTCCATCTAGAAAAGAGCCATCCGCCTGATTGGAGACGCGAACTTTGATGGTCTGGAACGTCGAAGAATGGTTGGAGATTTGTTTCCATTCTTTAGACATTTTCACGGAAAGTGTTCAAGTGACTTCGCACATTTAATTCCACCAAGAGCGGTACATATCAGAAATACACGACGGACTGTGGCTGCTCACTCTTTTCGAAGTTCAACTCAGTATACCTCGAACGTGAAGAACTCTTTCATTTATAGAACTGCGCTTATGTGGAATAACTTTCCTGTGAACGTTTTTTCAAAACGAATTCCATCTCCAGCGATTCAAATCCAATGTGAATCGCTACTTTCGCACAGGCACCGCTCTCAGAGCGCCTCAATGATTTTTCTATAGTACTTGTGTTTTGTCCTTCTGTCCTTGAAAAATTATTTGAGGCACAACCATACACACTTTCGAAGACATTTTAGATAGCGAAGTTTGAGAGATCATTCATTTGGAATCCACCCAGACTGGTCGTGAAATACATTGATTAGGTCATAAAAACCTAATAGCAAGCAGTAAAAGTTTTTTTCAATCATGGGGTAGAACTGTTGAATTGGTTAACAAGGAATGTTCATTAATGAATTTGAAATGAAATATATATATATAAAAGCACTTGTAAATTACGTTGTTATCGAATGATAAACAGCAAAAATTTCGAGAAAAAACATAATATATATCTATTTTCTGCAAAGACATTTCGTTTCAAATTTGGTATGCATATAAAGGGATAATTATAAGAAAATATTGATAGTGATAGCAATTTTCAGATCACTGTGATTGCAATTTTCATTTGGCTGAGTCAAAACATTTTCGAAAGCACCAATTATGAAGGGTTCCATTGATGAAAGAATACTGTAGAAAACTTTCTACTACAATTCGTAAATGAGTAATTCCAATAGGAAAATACGAGTATACTATAGCAAATTCTCAACATATTTGCAATTTGGAAATAATTCAATTGAACATGGAAGCCTTCAACGACATTTTGAATAGATTGTGGATATCTCTTCTGAAATGCAAAGCAGCAAAGATGTTAGCTTGAGATGCGATGTTGATTCACCCTACAGTAAGAAATCAGCATAACACAAATCATTCCATTTCAATTTCAGCTCAGAATGATTTGTTTGCTTCTCAAATTAGTTGCGAAAAGGTGATTCAACTAATATCATCAAATGTTGTTTTTATAGGTAAAAGGAATAAAAAATGTTTGTAGATGAATTCTTCAATAAAATCATTTCATAAAGAAACAATATACATGCCAAGTTGAATTGCAGAAAAAACTGGAATAACACTCACCAAAAATTTGTTCATCCATCTTAAAAAAGGAAAAACGATAAACGGGGGATCAGTTTTCGAGAAGGAGAAGTATCTGCTTCCAACTGCTCCATCTCCATATCGAAATTGTGAAAAAGTTTTTCAGAAAGACAAAAAGCAATTGAGTTCAAAATGAACACTCCACAATGATGTGCAGATGAAGACTTGAAGGTACATTCAGGTACAAGCTGAAAAAAAAGCTCTCCTAAAACAACTACTTTTACAATAACATTGAATAATACAAAAATAACTTTTTTTTTCACTTTGTACTTCAATATTATTTCGATAACAAACAAAAATACGAGACTAATAACATGAAACTTGTACAACCACAGACATATTGCTGAATAGCATATTCATAATTGGAGTGTCTGTGGTTGTACGACTTTCATGTTGAGCCCCACATCATCGTTTGTTTTCGTACCTGTTTTCTCTTATATATCTCTTTAACTTTTACAACATAGATAAACCAATGTTTGGTGAGTTTCATGTCAGTTTTCCTTCCTCAAATTATGTAGTGTTGCCATACGTGTTGGCATGTATATCGTTCACATATGAAATTAATTCATAGTAGAGCTCTGATGAAGCATTCGAAGGAGTCTCAATCATTGTCAGAAACTAAATTAATAATCTGCGAAAATTTTTGATCCAACAAAAAAAATTACAAAGGACCTTTTTCACACAAAAAATTGAAAGAAAAATAGCTCATCAAACACGAATTTATTTGGCTGTTCTGAGACTCTCAGCGACTCTCTGTGACGCATTGGGTGACAATTGGATACACTCCTGGATTGGGTTTACGAATAGTTAGAGGAATCTCTATAACTGACTGAGCTGAATGGCATCCGCCTATGTTAATTAGCGTACAGTAGTTCTCGTTATATTCGTATTTCACATAGTTTAGGCAATATGATGTCATTTCTTTATTCTACAAACACAACTATTTTTATCATTATATATTATTTTATATTCTAGAAGGCACTTAAATGAACTGAAAAGTTCGTAGACTAGGTTAGGTTATGTCCAAAGTGGGTGGGTCTATCTGTATCTGTAGAGTAGGGAGGGTGAGTGTAAGCCCACGCACTTAGGCCACATGTGACCCATTGTACATCCTCCCAAGGATTCGTCTTCCTAGGTCATCGTCTATCCTGAGCATGGGTGTAACATTTGACTAGTTCCGCAATTGTCGAAGTCATCAGGCCGTGGGTGCCACTGGGTCCTAAAATTCTTAGTCCGGCCGCTTCCTTGGCTAAAGAGTCGGCAATACCTCACTCTTGTCGTGCTCTTTAATCCACCTCAGGATAATGTTATTATCTACCGAGGCTCTGGTTAAATCTTGGTGGCACTCTAGTACTAGCCCTGAGGTGACACGCTGTCCGTTCAAGACTAATAGTGCTTGTCCGCTATCAGTGCAGATTGTTATGTTTTTGCCAGAAATTCCTTTCTTTTATGGCGATTGAGATACGAGCCAGTTCTGTTTGGACCACGCTGGTATTTCTTCTCATTCCCCACTAAATCCTTAGGCTTAGTGACCTGGAGTACACTCCATATCCTGAGCCTTCTTTGGTTTTTGAGCCGTCTGTATAAATCCGTATTGCATTTGTAGCATCTGACTCTGTGTTGTGCTTAATTTGTATATTGTAGGGTTTATTAAACACAAACCTGGGTTCAATTGCATCACTTGTTGCCTGCAGCAGAGGTTGCGTAGTGAACAGTGAGTTGCGTAGTGAGTGGGTCTATTCGATCCTCCACCACAACCCGCAAGAGTTTATTGTGGGTCACACCTATTCACACTCGACTAAATGAATCCAGCTTCTAAACGAAACCGATTAGTTTGTATGGTGAGTGGACTTTCAGGTCAGATGGTGAGACTGTCTTCCGATAGTCCCAGCCTCTGCATATGATGATTCAAATGATATTGTCATTTGTAAAAAGAACTGTTAGACATCGTAGTTTCTCACTACTGCAGTCCAACAACTTTTTGATATCAAGTTTCGAAGGGTGAATAAACACCTTGGAGTGAGCCAATCCTGGAAGATTCTGCAGAAGTCCATGAATCTTCTTGTCATCCAGATGTTCAATCTTTATTTGGCAAAGCCTGAAGCGATGCCAATGACAGGTTCTGGTCAGATGAAGCTGCTTGCAGTACCCTCCTTCGTAAGGGAGGCGTCAGCCTCATTGCTTTCCCGGTCAGTATGGCCAGAAATCCCGACCAGAGACAATCTGTTAATGACAATCTGTTGAGTCTTCCTATCGAGGAGAGTCGTTTTTGGCAATTTGCTACCAATTTAGACGTTGATCGGAAGGAGCCAAGAGCTTCCAACGCAGCTTGATTGTCGTAGACTAACACTAAGATGGAGCAACTAGTAATATATCCATATGATTCCTAGTTAACCATTGCCTAACATTTGTATAAATTTGAGAGCTCTCGGATCATTATTTTGTGGAAAAGAAGATTTTTAGTGAAGCACCATTTGTTAGTTTGATGAAAATGGATAATGAGGAATTTCATGTGATGATAAAGCATTGCTTTTTGGGGCAAAACAATACTGTTGATGTCAAGGATTGGCTAGATAAACATTATTCGGACTATGCAACAGAAAAATCAACCATGGAGAAGTGGTTTGCTGGGTTTGAATGGGGCGAAATGATCACTGAAGGGGATGCACGCAGTGGACGCCCAAAGAGGCGAAAACATAAAAAAAGTCCACAAAATAATTTTGGATTACCGCAAAGTGACGTCGATCGAAATAGCTGAATCCCTAAAGATATCAAAGGAACGTGTTTGACATATCGGACATGAATATTTGGGTATGCGAAAGATTTATTCAAAGAGGGTGCCGCGCGAGCTCACAATCGACCAAAAATAACAACGAATGAATGATTCTGAGCAGTGTTCCACTATGAAAAACACGAATGTATGCACTCCAAAGAGTGCAAAGACGCAACAGTTGGCTGGCAAGGTTATGGTATCGGCATTTCGGAATGCGCTTGTTATAATATTCATCGACTATCTTGAAAAAGGGTAACCATCAATAGCGACTATTACGTAGCTTTGTTGAAACGTTCAAAAGACGGAATCGCGAAAAAACGGCTACATTTGAAGAAAAAGACGGTGCTGTTTTATCAAGACAATGTGCTATGTCATAAATCAATGAAAATGATGACAAAATTGCATGAATTGGGCCTCGAATTGCTACCGCATCCACCGTATTCTCCAGATCTACCCCTCAGCGACTTTTTCCTATTCTCGGACCTCAAAAGAATGTTTACTGGATGAAAATTCATTGCCTATGAAGAAGTTGTCGTCCAAACTGAGGCCTATTTTGGTGCTAACGACAAATTGTACTATCAAAACGGCATCGAAGAATTGTATAACCGCTATAATCGTTGTATCGCCTTCGAAAGCAACTATATTGAATAATAAAATCGAATTGTTTTGAGCATTTTACATACACCTTGTTTTCATATTTGTACAGAATCCAGATGTATGCAATTCAGATACGACTCCTTCGCCTAACGTATATAACTTCATCTTATACATCAATTTTTTTTCAGATTGTATATATATGACTTCCGAGGAAGGAGACTACTACCACAAAGCAGGTGCCGTTGACGGACGAGCATGTGGTGCCTACATTTTCAGTGAACCGGATGAAATCATCGAGATCCGTTTGAATTTTATGAATGTACCTTGTGAAAATGGTGGTCTCATATCGGTAAGCACACTTGAAGTTACAATTTGTTAACGATAATTACATCAGTATGCAAATTATGGAAGATGAGACAATTTCAATTGAAGAAAGCTAGTGTTCTTCAGACCACACGACTGAAGTAAAACTTCTTTTGTTCAATTTCTTTCACGACGAGCGTTCGTTAGGAATATATGGAGAACGATTCAAAATAAAAACATGAAATTTTGTAGTTGTGGATTTTACAAAATGGCCTTCTCAACTAAAATATTTTCAACTTCCGGTCTCTTTTCGTTATACCGGAAGTTGAGGGCAACTTCCTTCCAATTGGAACACCCTGTATTTTATTATATTTTTGAATTTCTCAACACATTTCAGGCTCACTTTGTGAAATAATGTCTATACCCAAATTTGTAAGTTTTCAAGATATTAATTTTTATCTGAAAAATTTGACAGTTACAGCACCATTCTGAAAATATCATAACTCATAAATGGTAATAGTTGAAAATGTGAAATTTCACAGAATCACACCTTAGGCATCAAGTCATGAAAGGGTCCATCGAATTTTCGAAAATAATTTACAGGGTGGTCGAAATTTCCACCCAAAACATAACATCGAGAAAACTGATGGAACCCAATTTTTTCAAATGACTGTCCGAATAACCAAGAAAAGTACTTGAAAAAAATAACAGCTTGAACGCAAGCGAGACATAAGTGGAACCACTGATTGGTGTGACACCCAAGTCAACTTGCCAAGTTTTTATGTCAGTGTTGGTGGTTTGACCAATCAACCGACAACTGCGGTAGCAGAAATTTGGGAAGCGGTCCTGGAATGCCATTGGAAAACGAATCCATATGTTTCTAGTAATGAAATGCTTTCGAGAAAGGTTGATGCAGTCAAGCTGAGTCAGGCTTTTTCGCCCTATATCTTCGAAACATTGCGTTCCATCAAAAATCATCAACGGACAAAATATCCTTAGAATAGTCCCAAGGAATAGTCTCTTCATTTTTTGCCGCAGGTTTAATAAACACCCTGCATAATAAGAAATAGACTTGAGCAAGGTCAGTCTAATTCCTAACACCCAAGAGACATCACCACGTAGATGGCAAATGTAACTTTGCCGAAACGTCGTAAAATCAATCCCAGTGATGATGAAAAATAACACAGTTTACCGATCAAAACCTGAAAAACAGTTTATCATTTTCTGTACGTCAGAAACTTCGATGACATCTATTACCATTTTAAAGGAAGAGCTACAAAAATTATGATAGTACAATATTATAATATTATTACAAAAGGCTCAACTTACTGTCAATGCAATAAAACAAATCACTACATTAAAAGAGGTTGACTTATCACTGATATAAAGAAGATTATTTGAATTTACTTAATAAAAGTCGTTATTTGTTTTAAATTTATAAAATAACGGTAAAAGCCATGTGGTTGAAAACCAAAAGGAGAGGAACAAAGAACAATCAGTTAACACTGCCAACTGTCATGTGAATAAGTTTGAAAAAGGTGTGTTTGTTTTTCTGTGTTGAAACTATGGAACAACAGAGAACAGTTTTGATGCAAGTGTGTTCAGAGTCGTCTGCTGTTATGTAAGCCTATCAATGAGGAAACTCAATGTTAAATGCATTAACTTTAGATTTGATTATTTGAAAAACACCTCTATTAGTTTTGTGGGAAAAAATCATTGTGGGAGTGTTGATGCAAAACTCTGCTATAGGGAGGTTGGAAATTTATTCCAAAAATGAATTGAAATTATGAATTATATTTATGAAATTTCTGAATTGTTATTGTTTTGAAAATCATGTGAATTTTTATCAATATCCAAAGGAAAGGCATATATTCCACTGAGATGATCAATGTCTGATCTTCACAGTTACAGTTACAATTACAGTTACAATAAATCAACAGTTACAATCAAATAAATGCCTTAACAAAAGATCAGACATTGATCACCTCAGTAAAATTTATGCCTTTCTATTAGATATTGATAAAAATTTACACGATCGATTTTCAAACCAGTAACAATTCAAAAATTTCATTAATACAATTCATAATGAAAATTTATTGAAATGAATTTTCAACTTCCCTATGGCAATAACACTCCTTCATTAACTTTTTTCTACAAAAAGAATAATGGTGTGTTTTGATTAATCTTATTCAAAGTTAATGCATTTGACATCCACTTTTCTCATTAATAGGCTCAGCAGATGACTCTGATAACACTTGCACCAAAACTGTTCTGTAGTGTTCCGAAGTTTCAATATAGACACACAAACACACCTTTTTCAAAGTCAATAACATGCTAGCTGTCAGTGTCAATTATTCTTTATCTCTCTCTCTCTTTCAAGGCCGTAGCCAGAAAACAATTTCGGGGAGGTTGGTTTTGTGGAACAGTAGAAAAACATGAAATATAAAAATAACGACAGAAAGAAAATGCTGTTACATGATCATAGGTATATAGTTATGAGTAACCATTACAGAAATATTAACATCTTTTTACAAAATCAAATTTAGTTTTCTTTGCAGCGAACAAATCAATTACCTTCTCGGTGTTGATGTCAATTCTATGGTGCATTGATATTAACGCCAAACCGTTTAATCGTTCCTGGCTTGTGGATTTTCTTAAATAAGTTTTGAAGCGTGTCGTGAATGTTGGAAATGACACATGGCACATATTGGTTGATCTAGTTCAGATTCTTACAGCCATTTTGTCAGCCACATGTCTAATTCCGCTTCATAAAGTCCCATTCTGAATATTTTCATATACCTCAACGGAATTTTCTTGATATTTACTATTGATTTGTTCTTTGCAACACACAGAAGGAATTGAAATGTTGAGAGATGATAATGTGGCTTTATCATTTTGGAATCTCGACTGAAGCTGATCGACGGAATCATCCAAAAGTTGAATCATTATAGTAATTTCAAAATAAGTTTCGGGATATTCTGTGCTCTTGGCGTGACGTGACAAAGAGTCTTTGGTCTTCAACCACATGGCTTTTACCAGTGAATTATAATTTTGGAACATGACGATTTATATTAAGAACATTCAAATTATCTTCTTAATATCAGAAATTAGCAATGAAATCTCCTGCTAAGCTGAAATTAGTGGCAACGCAACGTATGATATTTTTCTCTTAATTATTCAGAGCTTACTTGACCGCAAAACCGTCCTCTAAGCATCATAATTCGAATTTTTAATAAAATTCCCCAAAACATCACAGATGAACTTACCTATTTCAGATTCAAGAAGTCACCGAAAAAAGTACTTATTGAGGGTGCATTTGAAAAAATTTTTCACTATATAAATCACTGATAGTGTATTCTGCAGTACTCTCTATGTAATTGTATATTTTACTTCAATATTTAGTACACTAAAAGTACTTATATCATATCAGCATTCAACTTTGTACTCTGTAATTTTGATTTTTGTCTCTGTATACTCCAAATGTTTGACATGTTGTATACCACTTGTGATCTTCAGATAAATGAATTTGATTGATTGATTGATTGATTATTGAACTCTGACTCTTCCTATGTTCACCAACTTATACCTTCCTCCCAACTTTCGTTCGCCTCGCCCAATCACACCTTTCGTAACGTTCTCGTCACTCATTCACTAGCTTACTCCTCAAGTCAAGCGGGTGTGAAGTAGTTTTACTTCAAGACAATATCTTATTGGAAAGATCTTTAAGTTGCAATTCCAGTATGGTAAAACTGTTATCACGTGTAGGTATTTCATGGATTTGGAGGCAATTTCCAAAATACGTTATCGAGCCACTTGTGTCAAATAATTTCTACTTCGGTAGAATTGAATTTTTACCAACATTCGCCATTGTTTGCTAATAACCAACGTTTGGGGAAAAATTAAAATTGCTTCAGTACGTGTCATTATGTTCCTTAAATACTTGTTTCCAGTTCGACAACTGATATAATGGACAGAATATGATTAGTCTCAGTTGAAAGCGGTATATTTTCAAGAGCTATTCATTTTTGGGAGAGAAAGTTTTCAGCTTCCTAATTCTCCATCAAAAAATTTCAGTATCATCACACAAATGTATTCCCTTTCAGAATTGAAAAGCTACGTCACTTCTCACTTCAGTGGAACGGATATTTTCTCAACAAATAGTCACACCTCAATAAAGTTTGTTTTCTCAAGCATTTGAAGAGTATGACGATCAAATTTTATAACACGTTACTTCCGATGCCGAAGGTAGAAGCAATTCATTTATCTCAAAGAACGCCAAGAACATCCAAGTGCACTCTAAGTCGTTTACTGCCTTTTTTATTTTTCATGTTATTCTGGAAGTAACTTCGACCTGTAAAAGGCTTTGAGTTCTTTTCTTTCACTTTGCATAAAAATTGAAATTGGATAGTGGTATAGTCCTTTCGTATTCTCTCTTGATTATCTAGAAGATTTTACCATGATAAAACTACGTAAGTTTCGTGAATAAATAATTCAGACGTATCAAAGTCAGTCAACTCCAACAGAAACTAGTTTCAAGAGAAAATCTTTTAGATTATTTCTTAGATATATAATTGATTGAGAACTTCCCAATGATGATGTGAAAATTCAGATACAAACTGGAAAATAATCTATCCAAAACAAGTACTTTCGAATATATGAATACTGGTTTTTTATCAACCTCTATTGGTATGATCACCTTCCATAACCTGAAAAAATGAATAGACATACGATGAAAACTGTCAGCACGAATCAGCACGGATACAATTCGAGATATATATGAATATAAATCATATCGAAGTTGCTGGAATAATCACTTGTTGAATCGAAAGGCGTATATTTTTAGGAGAGATTGATTTTTTATTCCTATAGCTGGGATTAAATGAAAAGAGTGAAAGGACGTCCAATACGTACTGTCATCAATGACATGAGTAAATTCATTTTAATTGTAATTTGTAATTTTATTAATGAATTGGAGAGGCAATAAAGCAAATGCCTCGGCATTTTTCTCTGCGAAATAATTGTACACGAAGGTGATTGCCTCTTCAT